GACTAATGAATACACGGTACTCTAGGTGGTGTACAGAGTAAAACATGAGCAACCTGACACGCCTCACCCCCAGCTCCACTCCCATATCACGTACTCGATACAGCAAAATAGCCAACTCTAGTGCAGTTGAAATACAACGGGAACCTCAATTTCAGATTAAAAATTAGGAGCATTTAGGAATATGTTCTTAAAGGCTGCCTTGTATAATTATGTCTTCAGTAATTTCCTAAATATTGGGAAGGATGGAGCTGAGTGTCCCTTGATTGGCTGTTTCTTCCACAAAGCGGGGGGCCATTACCGAGAAGGCCCACTTCCGTTTCATCATCTTCCTAGCTTCCCTTGGCATGGCTATCCTTAACATTATGGACTGTGGATTTAACATGTGAAACAAGTATTTGTTTTCTGTGAGAGATGTCCGGACGAGTATTGAGGACGAAAAAGAATTTCATTTTGGCTGCTGTTTGAAGCAAATCAACCTTACTTGATCTTTCCAGACAAATAGATAATCTGGAAGACAGGGGCCATTGGAATTATGCAAAAATAACATCCAAGCGTTGAGACACCGTTCCCTGCTCAAAAATATGTATGTGAGGAAAGTTGAATTACAATGTATAATTAGGAGAAAATGCATACAAAGTAAGCTTGTTTACAGACAATGATGTATGCACATGTATACGTATGAATGTGTAATTATAAAGAAATGAATTTGCAGTTGAATGTGGACATTAGACAGAACATACTAATTTATGAATATATGCCAAACTGACACAGACTGAAAATAGATTTTTACATTTCTAGTTTTTACTCATAGTTCTGTTCAGTTTATCCATTAATCTTCTACTTAGCACAAATATATGCTAATTTTAAAAATTGCACATTTTATTTTAATGTGTGTGTTCGTGCATTTAGACTGTTGAGGACTGCATTCTAACATACAATATGCAGCAGTGTCATATCCAGTAGTTGACGAAATTCAAACATTGATCCAAAAGGTGCAGAGTAGGTCATTTGATAAAGCAATCTGTAAAGATTAAATGTCTAAAGCAGTGGTAAGTAAGGGCATCCATGAATAACTCTGGGGTGATGAACCCAGAGTCATCCAGTGAGTCTATCAGAGGCCAAGAAGTCCATGCAGCAGATGGACCATATGTGGCACCTAAGACTATGCAGCATAGTATTATACCAGATATGCTAATGGTTTCTTCATACCAACTATAAATACCTAAGACATAAAATAAGTTAGGGGAAATCTGTCTCTCTCTAAGTTACAGTCATATTCTGGTACCTGGAGTATTCTCAGGACCCCAGATTGGGAAAATCATTAAAACATTAATTAGTTACAGTTCTAAGCTTTAAGGCTTAGAATTACTATTGTAATTATTATAGTTACAATTTAAAAGTAACTCTTTACTTTTGTTACTGGAAAGTAACTAACATAGTTATTGTAATCATAGAAAACTTCAAATGGAAAACCATGCAAGCCATTGGCCTGTGATGCTAAACACACCTTTGTAGCAGAGCCACAGTGCAACTATAAAAGTAAATGTGAATGTTAAGTTACAGTACAAAATTGTCCCTTGCTATATTGCAATCATAATACACGAGTCATTGCAAAGAGGATTTGATTGCAGGTAACACGGTATTTGTAACTAGTTACTTCTAGGTTGTATGAGAGCCTGCTTCCTTTCCACATTAGAAAATCTCTCTGTTTATTTTGATTAGCGTGAAAGAATAATGAAGGCCTTACCTTCATCTGGCCGGATATCCTTGTCGTCAGGAGTATAACCAATAGCTGCAAGACCTAGACGGTTCATCCATCTGATGAAAGAATAGAGAGAAAGAAAGACATTGAGACCGACCGACTGACCGACCGACCCACCAAGCAAGCAAGCAAGCAAGCAAGCAAGCAAGCAAGCAAGCAACCAACCAACCAACCAACCAACCAACCAACCAACCAACTAACCAACCAACCAACCAACCCCTGACCCTGTTATAGCTGGCTTTCAGCACGAGCCCTGTTATTACACAGAATGGAGAGAAAACCTCAGAAAAGACAAGGAAATAAGCAAAAGGTGTGAAAACTGGACACATTATGCACCCAGGATGTTGGCATGTTTTGGGGTCTCAGTCTCAAGCCCAAGTCTCTGCTAAGTCCGAGTCCCTATTAAAAAGCTTTCCCCCCAGAAAAATAGGAGGGGTGGGTTCTGAGTCGCAAGCTGAGTCGGGACATACAAAAGGAAGTACAAGGTGTATTGTAGCTGCCAACATGGATGGCTTTAAAAGAGGATGGCATAAATTTACAGAGGTCACTGACAGCTACTAATCAGGATGGCTATTGGTCCTCTCCAGCCTGAGAAGCTTTTTGCAGGAAAAATGTAAGTGATAGAAACCATTGGTTTTGATTTCAGACTTTTGCTTTGCTTTGCTCCCTTATTTTGAGGCAGCAGAAGACCATATCAGAATTGTATGCATCACGGATCTGTGGAACTAAATTTCACTTGTTTTTCCCCCCCTCTGTTTTTTTTAATATAATGAGTATTGTGTAAAAAAAAGCAAAACAACAATGCTTTAAAATTTCGCTCCGCTAGAATCGCTTCAAGGAAATGTGCTCATGTGTGCGCCTTCGGAAACAAAACATCTCACATTGCAAAACTTGCTCTATCCAAACCTATCAAGTCTCCCCAGCTTGCCTTTCCACTTATGCGTTCATCATTTGGGCAGCATTTGTAATCAATAAAAAAAACTCGTGGGATTTGCTGTGAAGTATTCCTTGCCCCCCTCCCCCACCCGGGTTCAGATAATTTGATATGATTTGGCTGATCTCATTTCACGCGGTGCCTGCTTAGATTTGTCAAGTCAACAACAATGGAACACGCTCGAGATGGCTGGACAGCGAAGAAGTGAACCATCACAGTTGTTGATTTGGTGTGCATGTCTTAACAGACTTGAGTGTGTGTGTGTGTGTGAGAAGAAAACACATTGTCTGTATCTTACCATCTTAATCCTTAACTGTGTTTCATGATCTCAAGTTTCTACTCCTGATCTTGGTTTCACCATAAAGTCTTAAGAGTTGTGGGTGCCAATGTGGTCTCCCCCCAACCTTGGAGGTTGCCCATCTCTGTCTTAGATGTTGATGGTCTCCTCAGCTTTCACCCCTAACCAATTATTTTATTTATTTATTTAACTTATATGCCGCCCACTCTACCCAAAGTTCTCTGGGCATCGTAGAGATCTCTAATGCTGCATTAAGGTTAAAACACATGTGTTTCTTCAGAAGAACTGGCACAAGTTTTTGGAAGCATGAAACAGCCCTAGAGCAAATTTTATCTGGATGTGGAGCAGTCTTACTTTAAAGAGTCTATCCTGGAGATAATGTAGATAATTTCAGATGATAGCTCCTAAAAGGCTTCTATTTTGCGGAACCTTTTATGCCTCTCAGCGGGGAGAAGCCTCCACAGCCTGAAAGATGGCCCTCCTGCTTAGCAGAGCACGTTTCAAAGGGCCATGAATATTGTACGGGCACGTTCGGTCAATCAAGCCAACATGTTGCTATAAAAAACCCTCTGCAGAAGGCAAGCAGGGGATAGATTTGTTTTCTCTGTCTGGACTGTAGATGTTCCGTGGAATTATCTCCAAGAACCGGATGATGTCCCCAAATGTCCTTCAGACACAGAGCTTGGAAAAGTTACTTTTTAGGCTTGTAACTTCCAGAACCTCACAGCCAGCAGTCATTGGAGCTATAGACCAAATGAATGAATGAATGAATGAATGAACTTTTTAGGATTGTAACTTCCGGAACCGCACAGCCAGCATATCACTGGAGCTATAGACCAAATGAATGAATGAATGAATGAATGAATGAATGAATGAATGAATGCCAAGATAGGAGTTCAGCTTATCTCTCATACTAAAAATTAAACTCTCACCAACTCTGTTTTATATGAATAGGATGACTATGAGTACAGCTGGTAATCCAGACCTGGGTTAGAGCACTCTAGTATGGAAGGGCAACTGGCCCTATTTCTCCATAAGAGGGACGTAAGAAAGAGAGGTGAAATAAATGTTGGAGTTTTATTTGCAACCATGTATGCTGTCTGTAGTTTGTTTGACTGGATGGGACCTTTCTGAGCCGGGGTGAATCCAGCATTAACTACTCGTTTCTTCTAGCCTTTGAATTCAAAGAGAGCCCAGCTACTCTGCTGAGTGTTCTTTCCCCTCTTTCGTTTACTGGGGGCAGTTGTTTGTTTGCTGTTGATCTGCTCAGTTGGTTGCTAAGTATATGTGCAGTAAAGAAAGCAGTATACACTGTCTGTAGCTTCAAGTAATTGTACATCAGGAATTGTTTTTATTCTACAAATTCTTCAGAGTGACTTATTGAGACTTTAAGAGGAAGTTAATGAGAAAGCGGTGGACTGTGGGGAATGTGTAGCTATTCTCCTCTTTAAATCTCTGTACTTCAACTGCATAGTAAAAAGACATTTACCAGAAATTCGAAACTGCAATACTAGACTCTGCTCTGCCTCATCTTAACTTCCCATGGCTTCCCCATCGTATTTCCAGTAAAGATATCAATGGGAAATATAAGAACACTAATATTGCTAAAGCATTGCTTGAGGATTAAAGCATTAACGTGTGCAGTTTTTAAGCATGGAATCTGTTACTCAACAGACTCCCAGTTTCAGTGCATCATCCTGCCAGCAATTCAGACTCTACAGAGCCCAGACCAGGGTTCTCTGTGATGGGAGGGCCTTGGTGGCTGCTTGCAAGAGGTGCAAGAGTTCACACATTATTTAAAATATTGCAATTTATTATATGTTTCATTGTCCACATTTGTCTTTTAAATATTTTGTGTGCTGCTTTGGGTCCCTTGATAGGGAGAGAGGCAGCCTATAAATAATATGAATTGAGAGAATGGCTTAACATCTCCAGGGTTGCTTTACCGCAGCAGGTTTTGTCCTCTGCTCACTTCACTGAAGCTGGAGATAGGAAAGGTCCTAGCAAGCCGCCTGCAAATAAGTATTCTATACCAAACAAAAATTAATAAATAATGTGCCTGTTTTTCAATTAGCCGACAATGCAAAGCATGCCCACTTATCTGATTAAAAATCAATATTGCTCCTTTCTAGTCTTCTTCAACAGCTCCCATTCATTTCCAAATTACAGCTCTGCCTTGCTTTTATCTGTTTTTGCACGGGAGCCAAAGTGGCATGCTTTCGCCAAGTATTCTCTGATGTCCCTAGCAAACCCTGTCTGCGGGAGGTAATTTAAAATATTAAGGACTTGCTGCTTTTTCCCCCTCCTAATTGGAATTAATCTGAACAACCTTTGCATTTTTATCACTCCTCCTACGTAGGCTTTTCCAATTGGAGGGAGCCAACGGATAAATATCACAGTCTTTTTTTTGCTGATTTCATCAGATGTAACAAAATCCATCCACAGCAACATGCCAGGAAGGGTCCTCTCCTCTGTGGGCTATTTGTGGCACAGAGCTATTTATTGCTTCAGAAAGGCAATGAATGGCCAAGAAAGTCAGAGACAAATGCATTAATTTCATGATTAATTCATTGCAGAGAAACCCAAGGGCACTTGTGCAGATCTGACAAAACAGCACGAGGGCATTAATTTTGCAAAGCAAAATCTGCCTGCAAAAAAAGAGAAGAATCAGAGGATGAATCCAGTGGAACAACTACGTGGGCTCCACACGAGTGTCCACCCCCTGGTATGTAATCCTTTCTTGACATCCGACATTAACTCCCGTTGGGGACGAAGCAGAAATTCGCTGGATTTGCTTTCTCCCTTTGACAATTTTCAGTTTTGCATCCCCCGAGATGGGACCTGGGGCGAAGCTCCTCTTAGAAACCCAGACCTTTCCAAGACCTATGATGCCATTTGGAGAAATAAAAATGCACACAGCATGTCTATTTGCAGTTGACCGTGAAAACAACAAATGTGAACAGCTAGAAATGCATATACAGCGGTGCCTCACAAGACAAATGCCTCGTGGGACGAAACACCCGCAAGACGATTGGTTTTTGCGATCGCTATGGTGCCTTGCAAGATGGCTTCTTTTATGGCCGTGCTTCGTAAGACGGTTTCTTTTTCGAGACCAATGCCTCACAAGACGAAAAGACAATTTTTTCGCAAGACAGCGCTTCTTGCGGAACAAATTACATTCATCTTGCGATGAATCTTGTATTTGAAAAAGATGTACAGGTGTGCTTTCGTCCATGGGGAAAATGTGTGTCATGAGACAGAGTACCAAAATATGTACAAAGACCCATGCTGGAGCAGGGGAAGTCTCACGACTGGATTATCTGCTGCTTGCATAACTGCCTATCCTCCATATTACCTTACCCGGGCTTCATGCTCTGGAGAGGACACTCCTCAATTCAGAGCATGTTACCATAGTCTCTCGAGACTGAAGGATGCCTATGAGTGAGATGGTGCCTCGCAAAACAGCTTCTTCTATGGCCGTGCTTCACAAGACGGTTTCTTTTTCGAGACCAATGCCTCACAAGATGAAAAGATTTCATTCATCTTGCAAGGTTCCCATAGGGAACCTTTCAATTTTTTTGCAAGACAGCGCTTCTTGCAGAACAAATTACATTCATCTTGCAATGAATCTTGTATTTGAAAAAGAGGTACAGGCGTGCTTTTGTCCATGGGGAAAATGTGTGTCATGAGACAGAGTACCAAAATATGTACAAAGACTTATGCTGGAGCAGGGGAAGTCTCACGACTGGATTGGACTGCATCTCCCCATATGAAGCTGCCTAGGTCTTCAGATGTTCAGAGGAGGCCATGCTGTTCCATCCCAACATCTTCACAAGCCTGTTATGAGACCATGAGAGATGGCCTTCTTGGTGGTGGTCCCTAGCGTTTGGACCTCCCTTCCGAGGGAGGTGGGGCTGGCTCTTTTCCGCTATCCTTCCAGCATCAGGCAAATACATTTTTTGTTTAAATGGGACTTTGGCCACTGATTAATCGTTTTAATGGTGAATGCAGAACATTTTTCTTGTACTTTTCAAATAGCTTTTAAACCACGTTCTTTGGATGCATGTTTTTATATTATAATCTATTTAACAGTGTTTTAATACTATAATTTATCTTATTTTAAAAACTGTTTCCGTTTTTAGAATTAGTTTGTAAGTTGGCTTGAGTCTTACAATAGGAGAAAGGCAGTGTGTGAATTAAATAGGAAAATAACGGTATCGTTTCTTTTTACTTTGATTTGTTACGCTATTGGTCACTTTTAGCAGCTCTAAGTGACATGTTAAGGTTTGATAGTTTAACTGCTGGCAAGCTAATGGCCAAAACTATTTTGCATAAATTATACTGACATAAGGAAACTGACTTCACCTGCAGCGGCAGATTACCAATAATTAAAGAGTCCCTGCTTTGCTTTCTCATTGCTTAAATGCAGTCTCACTGCCTCTGAGCCAGGTAGCTTGGCACATAACCCAGAATCAAAGTAGAGACTCTTTCATTAGCAGTAATCTGCTGCTGTAGGTAACATTGTTCCTCTTACATGAATGCATACATAAGATTTGGGCCAACGAATAACATTTCACTTGCTGGGATTTCCTCTTTTAAGCAACTATTTGAAAAATGCATGCAGGGCCATTCGATTTTTGGCATATAACCACCATCACTCTGGCATGCCTAACTTCCAGGTAGCTGGAAATATGAATAATTTTTAAAAAGAGCAGCTGAATTACTATATACCAAGGTCCCACCCCCTCCAGCGCAACAAATACAGGCCAGTATCTTGTTCAGTATTTATATGTTCATGGAGTTCCAGCTAGAGAAGCTGCTGTGACAGTTTTAAGAGATGCCAGCTGCGCGCAACCAGGCACGTGACCAGCACCCGGCAGCTTGAGTTGTGTGCATTTAAATCTTGCACAGGATCTTTGCGAATGTCTTGTGTAGGGAGTACAGGGAAAGGTGTCCTTTTTGCAGTTTTGCACCTGGCCCACAGAAAGGATAATCTGAGCATTCTTCTTTTACTTTGTGTCCTGTGTGCAAAACACTTCCCACCCCAGTCTCATCCCGCTTATTCACCACCACGGGAAGGCCAGAGCACATCTGGAGAAACTGAAGCGATACTCTCCCCTTCCCAATCCTTTGGCTCTGTACAGATCAGAATCAAATTCCTCTACCTCCGTCCAGAAGAGCAAGACACTTTACCTGTTCATTTCCTCCAAGCAGTCGGTGGCAAAGAAGAAGCTCTTAATTTTGGGGTGACATGCTTTGAAAGCACTGCAAGGGAAGCCAAAAAGAGAGAAAAGAACAAGTTATAAGTTAATGATGTATTCGACATCTGGGCTTTCACAGTAAATGGCCCAGTTACACTGATCTTTCTGTAACAAGCTTCTTCTAAACCAGTGGTTCACAAACCTTGGGTAGCCCGGGTGTTCTTGGACTGCAACCCCCAGAAACCCGAGCCAGCACAGCTGGTGGTGAAGACTTCTGGGAGTTGCAGTCCAAGAACACCTGGATTGCTCAACGTTGGGAACCATTGTTCTAAACTTTATGATAAGGTTTTTCCTAGATCCAAACTTGGACTCTTCAAGAATTCCATCCCGAATGTTTATCCCTAGGACTGGAGGAAGGAGTCGTCGAATTTACAAAATAAGATGCAGCCAGCACATCTGCACTTCACTAAAGTTCAGCTCAACCATTTCTTTGAAGTTTTCAAGAATGAGGTGTTGAAAAAGGCCTACGTTATCAGGCCTACAGATCATCAAGTCCAACCCCTGTCAAGGAGGCACGGCAGGGAATCAAACTCCCAACCTCTGGCTTCACATCCAGATGCCTAAATCCACTTGTGCAAGAGGTTAGTGGATTTCCTCTTGTGCTACGGTTGAGAAAGAAGAATCACACACAAAACAGTTTGTCTCCGGATTCAACTTTGAACCAAAACCACTTAGGCTAGAATTGGCAATTAATCAAATGCATTACGGATAGACCCATATTCTTCTTGTGCTCTAAAGGTAAAGGTAAAGGTTCCCCTTGTGTCTCTCCCATGGCATTATGGTAAAAACAGCCATTATCTCAAAGTGTAGAAGACGTGTAGTACAGGGATACCTCAAAAGGTATCGTAACTCCATAAAACGACTGTACTGAAGTTTATCACATTTGGAAGACAACCTTATGCCCCAAAAGGAATGTTTTCCTTTGGATCTATCCTAAGACAGGAGCTTCTGAAGGAGGCTAATCTAAACGAGCTTTTATGACCCTTTGCGTGTATTTTCTAGACATCGACACTGTGCCCTTCATTTCTTCAGACCTTCTTTGCTGTACGTTGCTCGCTTTCTCTCTGTGTATTGACCGTCTCTGCTAACTAGCATGATAAACAGTTTCCTAAACCTAATGCACTTCCTCATAGATTCGTATGCCTCCATAAAAGGGTTCTGGCTGGGTGGCTCTTTTTTCACCCTCACAGCATTTTCAGCTGTGGTCGAACCTCGCTGCTCCTTTCGAACCCACCCCCAGCGCTTCTCGTCTTTTCAAAGACGGTGCGGGATGCAGCCCACCGCCTTTCCAGTAACCTTAACCCTGGCCTTCTGCCTCCAGCTGTCATAGAAAACCCCTCCTGTTGCCCGTGTTGAAGTACATCTCCCTGTCCATGGAATGGAGGGAGAGGCTATCTTAGTGGTGGTATGTTGCTCGCTTTCTCTTTGTGTATTGACCGTCTCTGCTAACTAGCATGATAAACAGTTTCCTAAACCTAATGCACTTCCTCATAGATTCGTATGCCTCCATAAAAGGGTTCTGGCTGGGTGGCTCTTTTTTCACCCTCACAGCATTTTCAGCTGTGGTCGAACCTCGCTGCTCCTTTCGAACCCACCCCCAGCGCTTCTCGTCTTTTCAAAGACGGTGCGGGATGCAGCCCACCGCCTTTCCAGTAACCTTAACCCTGGCCTTCTGCCTCCAGCTGTCATAGAAAACCCCTCCTGTTGCCCGTGTTGAAGTACATCTCCCTGTCCATGGAATGGAGGGAGAGGCTATCTTAGTGGTGGATTTTTTTTTTAAAACTCAGAGACCTGCCATTTTTGTGAGCATCTTTATGGATGTTTCCCTCAGATTGGTTTCCATGGAAGTGAAAAACCATGATGACCATCTCCAGGGATAGCCTTGCTTTCGTCACTTATTGGGGGGGGGCATTTCCCCTCCATCTTGGACATCCTTCCTTGTGGATGGGGGGAAAAAAAAGGGACGACTAGTATCACAAAGAGTCAGACACGACTAAACGACTAAACAACAACAAAAGTATCCAACAGCCCCCCCCCTCTGAGAGTTTAGGATGATTCCCAAATGTCTAAAATGAAATTAAACAATAAGGCAAAACCCCCAATATATCTAATGTCTTTTTTATTTTCTTCCTCTAGATTTCTTTTTTTTCCCCCTGAGGAAGAAAAGCTCTCTTTGTGGTGTGTTTTTGTGTCTGGATTGAGGTCCAAGATGTGCTGCTAAGTCTTTTTTAGTATCATTTTCTTATTAAACTCCTCAGGAGGGCATTCAAAAAGCCATTTCCTCAGTTTTCGTTAGAAACTCAGAGCAGGTCACAGCCAAGCATCTACAGAAAACTGCTCGATGGGTGACCTTTTAGGAAACAAACCGGCAACCCTTTGAAAACCAAGGCTTGCTGTTCACACAGGGACTATGAAAAACACAAAACCCACTCCTTCTCTGCTTCAATAACTCTCTGAGGGTGTTTGCTGGTAGGAACGAAAAGATCGAAAGTGGCCGTCTGATTCTTTGGCTCTTGCTGGGGAGTCAGCGGAACAATGGCTCGCCCCGGGAACATTGCGGTGGGGAGGTCAAAGCAAGAGCTCGACCGTATGGGGTGCACCGTACGGGGCAGAAAAATATATAGTTTGGACAATGAATTTCCAGTCCCTTGTCCTCCTTTCCGTGTGCTTCTGTATCTCAGCAGTGGATACATTGCCAATGGTTCTTGTGGATTTAAAGGAAATGGAGATTCTTAAATCAAATTAGATGCCACTACAATGCCATCTATAAATGTGAACCGCATCTAGATGATGCCGATCTGTTTCTGGACATAACTCAAAAATGCTGGGCAGGTTGTTAGCTTTAAATATGGTCTTTTAATGATGTACTCTGCCTTGGGTTCTTTTCAAGGAGAAAGGCAGGGTTTTATATATATATATAAAAATAAAATACTTTTGTCTCCAGCCAAGGAGAGGCACTGCTGAGGAATTCTCGCCCTGCCATTAAGTATTATTGCTTGTCAAAGAGTCCTCCTCTTACATTTTTCTTCTGAAACAAAATTCTGTACATCCACGTGACTCTTCTCTTGCAGACAGAGTGGGGTTGTTTTACCCCGCCCTGAGTAGACATGGTCTAGAGGGGCGGGGTAAAAATCAAATCAAATCAAATCAAATCAAATCAAATCAAATCAATCAATCAATCAATCAATCAATCAATCAATCAATAAATAAATAAATAAATAAATAAATAAATAAATACTTCTGTCCACGTCAACACCAGAATTCGTGCACAAAAGTCAAATGCATTTCCCACCCTTTCCACCTTGATTCTTCAGAATGTCCTAAGGGGGTCCTACAGCAAATCAAGCTATGGAAGCAAAAAAAGAGGACAAAAACTGAGGCTGTCGTATTTTGGGCACATCGTTGAGAAGACGAGATTGGTTGAAAAAGACAATCATGCTGGGAAATTTGGAAGGCAGCAGGAAATGAAGAAGACCTAATGTGAGATGGGCTTATTCCCTAAAGGAAGCCACAGACTTCAGCTAGCAAAGGTTGTGTGGGCTTTTAATGACAGAACATTTTGGAGGTTATTCATTTGTGGGACCACCAATAAGGAAGAGGTACCTTGAAAGGCACATTAACCGCCGCCGCCACCATAAGGATCACTGCTGGATTCTCATTATTTAAAGGGGGTGGAGATGTGCTACACAAGGGATCGGAACCCACCTCCAAAAATTACAGAGAACAGGAATTGTCACTTGTATTAAATGCCTGGGCTGGTTATATTTTAAAAGCAAGGTCCTAAATTCAAATATCAGCTGTTACTAGAGCAGACACACTGAATTAAAGAGAACAATATTATTATTAATGTCTTGACAGTTGATTTTATAATGTATGTGCTTTATATTTTTGTTGAACACCACTTGGTGTAAAAATTGAAGAAG